AAATAGCACCACGCGGTCCACTCGCGCGCGTCGGCCGTGCGCGCATGTCGAACTCCTTCAAACACTTCCATCGCCGACGCGACGACGTCGTCATCGTTATCGGCGGGCGTGATCAACATCGGCGCCGTCATTGGTCTTGCCGTCTTGCCGTTTTCATCGCGACTATCGTCACCATGATCGTTACTTTCATGGTTGCGTCTGCCGTTGTCGGCGTCGCCATGATACCGCGCCTGCCCGAGTCACCGACTCGCATGGAGTGCCCGTCCAGAAGTGCCCAACGGTCAGCGCTACCGGGGCCGCGCTGGTCGCGCCAAACTAGCTGGCCGCTGTGCGCGCGAGCGTGCGCGGGCGAGCGCGGCCGCAGAGATGCACCAGCCAACGCCAAGCACTCGGCGCAATCGCCGCCGCATGCAAACCAAATTGCGGTTGGGTGGGTGGGGTGTTTGCAAGGGCGTGGAATGTGTTAGCGCATTTGTAAAAAACACCGATACCTTCACATAGATTGCACCACGCCCATGCCTTACTTCAGTTGCACACGCTGGTTGCACCGTCCATACATTGCGCAGCGCGGCCAGCTGGACGCACCCTGTGTGCCTTCCACGGTGGCCAGCACGCCCTGCGCACGAGATCCCCACGCACGAGCGAAGCACAGCAAGCCGCCCCCCGCGGAACCCGCCCCGGCCACGCGCCCAAGGACAGGGCACGACCGCTCGGCCCTCATCACTCTGACCTCTTTTTGTTCTCCCCCCCCGTCGGTGGCCCCGCCGCGCGGCAGCACGGGCCCCACGCGCGCGGCTGCGCCCAGCGTCGGAGGGCCGGCCGGGTGCGCTCGGGCTGCCCCCTGAGCAGCACGGGCCTCAGGGTGCGGTTCCGTGGCCTGCGCTGCCTGGAGAGTGCAAGCTGGCCAGCCTGCGCGGGTCCCTGCGTGGAGTCGGGCCTCGCGATGCTCACCCGGTCGTGGTCCCTCCGTCGCTGCGTGTTCCCTGGCCCTCGCCTCGTTCCCTGTTCGAGCCCTCCATCGGTCCCCACTTGTCGCTGTGAGGGGCGCTCGGGAGTTGGCGCTTGCCTCTAGCCCACGTCCAACGACATAGGGGTGTTGTTCAAGGGGGGGTGCGACATCCGACGCGAGTGCGCATGTCCCATGGTCCCCCTCCCTGTGGCTCCCTGGCTGCCTGCCGCGGCAGCCGTATGGCAGGGGGCCGCACTCACGCGGCACAGGTGGGGACAATGGCGAAGCTGAGTACGACAAAACCAGCACAGCAACCACTCAACGAAAATGACTGCATCTCGACGCGAAGGGCGCGTGCTGGCTGCGCAGGCTGATGAAGTAGTGGGCCTCGCGAGGGGGCGCCCAGGTTTCTCACACTGCCCCCCGCGCGCGCTGTCCGGATGGGCAGGGGCACGCCTTCTGGAGGCTACGGCTGGGAACTTTGTGTCAGCGGGTCGTTCCGCCAGGTCTGGCCCATCATTCCAAATCCCTTCGTCCCCCGGGTCCAGTTTTTTAAGGCGCCTTTTTGGTCATTTAAGGGGGTCCGGTTTATTAGGTCGCTTTCCTTGGACTGGCGCTGAGGGGGTCTGGTTTACTGAGGCGCCCCCTCGAAGAGGGGGTCCGGAATATTGGGTCGGTCGCATTTGGAGGGGGTCTGGTTTTTTAGGGGGGGTGTCGATTAATAAGGGATTTGGAGTACGCTTTGGCAAGATACGCAGTTCGCGTCGCGGCTCCCAGGCGTCAAGGTCTCGAGCTTCCCCAGGGCGTCAAAGGCAGAGGCCTCGCGGAGCGCCCCCTCCAAATGCGACCCAATATTCCGGACCCCCTCTTCGAGGGGGCGCCTCAGTAAACCAGACCCCCTCAGCGCCAGTCCAAAGAAAGCGACCTAATAAGCCGGACCCCCTTCATGACCAAAACGGCGCCTTAAAAACCCGGACCCGGAGGACGATTAACAAGGGATTTGGCATATTGTTCGATGTTAGTACCTCGCTGGGTCGCTGCTCCGAGTTGTCCCCGCGTCCCCGGGCGTCCAAGTCGAAGGCCTCGCGGAGCGGGCGTCCCCGGGCGTCCAAGTCGACACGCCGAGCCAAAGTTCCCGACCGTCCGGTTCAACTTTAGTACCTCGCTGGGTCGCTGCTCCGAGTTGTCCTCCCCTTCCGTGGCCTCCTCCTCGTCCTGCTCGGGCAGGTCCGCACCACTGCCCGCACCGATGGGAGGCCGCTCCCCACTCCCTCGCCCCGCGCGCGGGTGCGGCCCCCCTGCGCGCGGCCCCCCGCCCTCGGAGCTCGCCTGCCGTCCGGAGCCCCTGTCGGGCACGAGGCGGGGCACGACGGCCAAGGATACGGCCGGGAAGAGCAGGAGTCGGGTTGGAAAGGGCGGGATGGGAGTACGGCTTGATGAGGGGCGGGGGAGGAGGACGAGGGGCAGGAGGAGGAGGAGGAGGAGGAGCGAAAAGGAGTACATCTGTTGGAGCTAAGGATTGGCGAAGGGAGAGCGAGAGGGGGAAGGGGCCGCCGGACCTTTCCGACCCCCTTCCATGGGGTTGGCGTTTCATCTCTCCCCGGTTCCCGACACCAGCACCCAGAGACCCACAGTGGCGAAGCACCGAAACACCAGCCGTTTCGATCTGAGTTCGAGCCGCCGGGCGACGAGAGGGAGGCTGTCTCTCGTCCGCTGTCTTAGGGCTCCTGGGGCCCTCCCCCGAGCCTCAGGACTGTCGGAGAGTGAGCCAGGATGCAAGCGTCCCGCGGGGAAGCAGGGGTCCAGGGAAAGTTTCCACCAGCATCCCGTTCCCCTTTTACTCGAGAGGGGGGCAATTTTCACGAAGGAGCGTCAACGACGCTCCGCCCTCGGGAGCTTATCCACAGGTGGCTCCTTTCGCTCTTGGGGTCCGCAGGCGTGGTGTTCCTGAGGCAGCAGCACGCTGACGGGGCCCCTGCCGCAGCGTGTCGCGGATGCCTGTTCTGTCCCCCCCCCCCCACCTGCGCCGGAGGATGCAGGAGGAGCGCGTCGGCGCAGAGCCCACGAGGGGGGGCCCCCAAGGCGGCCCAGGAGGGCCCCGGGGAGGGGAGCACGGTCCGACAGCTCGAGCCCTGCGCTCCGCCAGCAGAGACCCCCCGCGCATCAGCTAATTAGCTTTGTCTTGGCATCGCTCGGACGTGTGCATTTGTCCCTCGGCGAGGACGATCGAGGAGCATCCTTGATCCCTTGGCGAAAAACCACGCACGGAACCGGAAAAAAACACAGGGAATGGACGCGCGAGGGCGTGCGCACCCCCCGCATGCCACCCCGCCCGAGGGCCCCCTCTGGCCCACCCCACACACCGAGCCCGCCCCCCTGGGCGACCCAGCCCCCCTTTCGCCCTCCTCCTCCTCCTCCTCCTCCTCTTCCTCCTCCTCCTCCTCCTCGCTCCTCCTTGCTCCTCCTCGCTCCTCCTCCTCCTCCTCCTCCTCCTCCTCCTCCTCCTCCTTTTCCTCCTCCTCCTCCTCCTCCTCCTCCTCCTTTTCCTCCTCCTCCTTCTCCTCCTCCTCCTTTTCCTCCTCCTCCCTCGTCGTAGCCGTTTTGGTTCAAGCCATTTTGGCTCGGGTCGTGTTTCCCGCTTTCTCCGCAACCCTTTCGCCCACGGCCGGTAGATCGGCGGCGGTGGCGTCATGTGCGCCTTGGATGGCTGCGGGACGACATGGCCTGCGTGTCGATGAGGAACGAGACCTCGGGCGCCCACTTGCTGCTGACCGCAAGGCTTGGCGGGACTGGGCCAGCAATCGTGAAGTTGAGTGGCGAGCTGGAGCGGGTCAAGGGCGACTTGGAGTCCGTCTTCACCAGCGTCCAGCTCCTCCTCGGGTCGGGTCGTCGAGCGAGCTCGCGGATCGCGCGTTGGCCATCGTGCCGCTTTTGGCGGCCAAGCTGCAGGGCCGCAAGCCGCTGCCCGAGAAAGTTCTCGGACGTAGTGTGCCCTCCCATGTTGGTGCTCGTGGGCAGAGCGTGCCAACGGCGTCTACTCGCACGCGGAAGGGTCTGCTGAAGGGCCCTCGGATCGAGTGCCGTGAAGTTCTGTCCCCGTTTTCGGCTACGCTCTGAAGCGCCAGTATTTGTTCCTGGTGTTCGGTGGTGCGCTGGCGATGCTCCTCAGGTCTTGCGGGTGGACGCTGCTGATGACCGTGGAGGGCAGCATGGGGGGAGACGCTAGTGAACATGAGCGTGGTGCCGATTGCGAGGCCCCTGCCGCCTCTCCCTTTGGCGCCGCGCGTGCTGCAGTGTCGGAGGACGAGTTGGTGATGCAGATGAAGTTTGAGAAGTTTGAGAAGTTGCCGAGCGGGGAGGCGCACTGTCCTGACGTCGCGGAGATGGAGTTGCAGGAGGACGCCGCCTCCATCGGGTCCTAGTGGTTGAAGGCACGGGAGGCGCTCGCCTTGAAGCGGTGCCCTGATTGCGCCGATGAACCGCGCCTGGCCGTCCGCACGGCCGGGATCGAGGTGGAGGGGCCGCGTGCCTGCGAGATTTGCTTCGACGGCGTCGCCGATGGCAGCGACATTATGTACTGCCTCGCTTGCGAGTCGTCGCATCACCACTCCTCCGTCGAGGTGTAGTTGCAGGAATCGTTCTTGACGGGGCCCTCGGTGAAGGATTGTGCCGAGTCCCAGCACCTGCGGTTCGCTGGCGCGGCCCTGGCTGCCGCCGAGAGGCCTGGGCCCCCCTTGTGGGTTCTTGAGATCTGCGGGGCCCTGTATGTTGTCTGCGCGTGCGTGCGCATCAGGAGACTCCTCCTCCCTCCTCCTCTTCCTCCTCCACCTCCTCCTCCTCCTCCTCCTCCTCCTCCTCCTCCTCCTCCTCCTCCTCCTCCTCCTCCTCCTCCTCCCCTCCCCCCCGCGATTCCCCCCACCCTTGTTGAACCGCTCGGTGCCCTCTGCCCCTTGCGCCGGCTCCCGCCGCCGCGGCGGCGGCGGGGCCGGCGGCCGTGGCAGCGCACCCGGGCGGCCTGGCGGCCCCGCGGCCGCAGCGGCCCCCGCGCCAGGCAAGGAGGCCGCACAGCTCGCCCAGCAGCCGGGCCTCTGGCGGCATCGAGGCTGCGGGGGGGAGGGGGGGAGGAGGAGGAGGAGGAGGAGGAGGAGGAGGAGGAGGAGGAGGAGGAGGAGGAGGTGGAGGAGGAGGAAGTGGAGGAGAAACAGGAGGATCAGTGGAAACCCAAGAATTATCAGCGATGTTGGAATAAACCCTCCCCCCAAGTTCCCTCTTCATAGGCCCCTATATCGTTTCATTTCCACGGGGGGAACTGATTCGCTGGAAGACAACCGTCTGAAGACACTGAAGGCTGCCCACATCTTGTTCTCGGAATTCCAACGCCACGGATCAACCTGACTGTTGCGTCTTGACGATTTTGCATCGTGCCAGAACACCATGCTCGAGACTTCAACACAGTGACTCAACGTAACTGTTGCGCCCTCATAGTCCAGAATCCTTACGATAACACAGTTTTTGGTACGCTGATCAGGGCATTCCGTGAAACCTTTTGCAGATGTTGCGCACGAGTACGCGCGGCGCGCAGGCGAGAGTCACATGTTTGAAGGAGCCGCCCTCAATCCGAGAAGCTTTTGCACATTGTAGAAACGAATGTGCGCCGCGTTCAGGCGAGAGCCACATTTTTTGAAAACGACCCGCCCTCAATCCGTGAAGCTCTTGCAATGTTTTAAAAAATGCACGCGGCGCTAAAGCGAGAGCCACATTTTGAAAACGACCCGGCCTCAATATGTGTTTTTTTGCACGCGTCTAAAATGAATGCACGCGACGCTAAGGCGAACACCGCATGTTTTAAGGCACCGCCCTCAATCCGAGAAACTCTTGCACATTTGCACAAAGAATGCGCGCGGCGCGAAGGCGAGAGCCACATTTGACCCACCCTCAATCCGTGAAGCCGTTCTCATTTTTAAAGCTCCAGGGTCATACATGATGAGGAAGTCTACAGCGAAACGCCCGACCGCCCTAAAAACTGGCTTCGGGGTGCGTTTGGGAGAAGTTACTGATAAGCAAAAGGAGGAGGAGGGGGAGGACCAGGAGGACGAGGAGGAGGAAAAGGAGGAGGAAGGGGAGGAGAAGGAGACAGAGGAGAAGGAGGAGGAGGGGGAGGAGGAGGAGGAGGAGGACGAGCGAGGAGGAGGAGGAGGAGAACGGGAGGAGGGGAGGAGGAGGAGGAGGAGGAGGAGAGGAGGAGGAGGAGGGAGGAGGAGGGGAGGAGGAGAGGAGGAGGAGGAGGAGGGAGGAGGAGGGTGAGGAGGAGGAGGAGGAGGAGGAGGGAGAGGAGGAGGAGGCAGAGGAAGAGTAGTAATACGAAGATGAAGCAGTAGATGAAGAGGAAGAGGAATACTACTATGATTAATAATCAGAACACGAAGAAAGCTGGCCGCGCTTCGGTAGCGATAGAAAGGGCCGCCGCCATGTCGTCGATCAGCGCGAAGAGGTGCGTCGCGCACCTGATCCTTTCGAATGTATTCATTGAGTCGGGAGATAATGGAGAATATGCGTCACCTTGGTTGGTCTGTTATGAAGATGGCGTAGAGCGTAGAGCATGTGACCAACAATCCCCTTCTCGCACCCCCCTGCCCCCCCGACAGACGGTTCGGGGGGGCGATTCAGAAGCGGGCGCCCCCCCTCTCCCCCGAGCTCGAGGTTGGCACGCGCGGGGGGGAGAGCGCGGACGAAGTGGCATTCCTTCAGCCCATCGCCAACCTTGCTTATTAGGAGAGGCGTTGGCAGCTGCATGCGGCACGAGTGCTCGGCCCTCGTGTCGCCGCCCCCGCCGACGCAGACGCGCAGCCCGCCCCGGACGCCTGCGCGCCCCCCGCCGGCTGCGCGAGGTCGAGAAGACGTCGCGGACACGCCGTCTCGCCATATCGCTACGCCCATAAAACAAGGCCCGATCTTTAAGTCGGGCACGTCTTTCTACTGGAGGAATCATCGAACATAGTCAACAAAATAGTCATGGGGCGATTTTTCTGTTAGTTGTAGCTACTTGAGAATGTTTCCCAACCATCCTGTGGTGTTGGGTCCTCGCTTCCAACCATTTTGTGGCGTTGGGTCCTCGTTTTGACGAGACAACGCCCCGTGCTCCTTCCTTCCTTCCTTCCTTCCTTCCTTCCTTCCTTCCTTCCTCCCCCCCCTCCTCGTCCCTCCTCAAGCAACCCAGGCCCAGGCTTCCCTTGCCCCGGGCCGGCGCCAGGACCTCCGCGCGGTGCTTGGGGGATCTCCTCGCAGCCGTCGCATGTTCGGTCGCCTTTGACGTTAACAAACACTGGAGTTTCAAACGGTGCTACGGGATGGGTGCCGGAGAGTGGCGCCCGGCGGGCATGGGCACAGTGGTCGGTTGAGCGAGCCATCCACCGCCTAACCCGCGAGGTGGAGCAGCTCCGCAAGATGCAGTATATGGACCCCAGCGTCGTCAGCTACAGCGCTGGGAGCAGCGAGCGGGAGCAAGATGGACAGTGGGAGCATCCGCAGGACACGGCAGGAACGTGGGGGTCAGAACGGCAGTGGCAGCAGCGAGCAGAGCCGGAGGCGAAGCACGAGGCCAATGCCATCAGCTACAACGACGGGACTGTGTCGCGTGACGGGAAGGTCGTGCCCGACGTCATTAGCTACAGACCCGAGGACGGTGCATGCGAAAAGTTTTGGATGGCGGCAGTGGCAGCGACGAAGCACGAGCCCAATGTCATCAGCTACAACGACGGTGCATGCGAGAAGTCTCGGACGGGGGCAGTGGCGGAGCCGATGTTCGAGTCCAGCGCCATCAGCCACAACGACAAGGCTGTGTCACATGACGGGGAGGTCAAGCCCGACGTCATCAGCTACAGACCCGAGGGCGGTGCATGCGAGAAGTCTTGGATGGCGGCAGTGGCGGAAACGAAGCACGAGCCCAACGCCATCAGCTACAACGACGGGTTTGCGTCGCGCGACGCCAAGGCCGAGCCCGACGTCATCAGCTACAGACCCGATGACGGTGCATGCGAGAAGTCTTGGATGGTGGCAGTGGCGGAGATGAAACGCCAGCCCAATGCCATCAGCTACGACGACGGTGCATGCGAGAAGACTTGGGCGGCGGCAGTGGCGGAGACGAAGCACGACTCCAATGCCATCAGCTACAACGACGAGGCTGCGTCGCGTGACGGGAAAGTCGAGCCCGCCGACATTAGCTACAGACCCGAGGACGGTGCATGCGAGAAGTCTTGGATGGTGGCAGTGGCGGAGACGAAGCACGACTCCAATGCCATCAGCTACAACGACGGTGCATGCGAGAAGTCTTGGGCGGTGGCAGTGGCGGAGCCGAAGTTCGTCTTGGATGACGGCAGTGGCAGTGACGAAGCACGAGCCCAATGCCATCAGCTACAACTACAAGGCTCTGTCGCATGACGGGAAGGTCAAGCCCGACGTCATCAGCTACAGACCCGAGTACGGTGCATGCGAGAAGTCTTGGATGGCGGCAGTGGCGGAGACGAAGCACGAGCCCAATGCCATCAGCTTCAACGACGGGGATCGGACTCGCGGTGCGAAGGTCGAGCCCGACGTCGTCAGCTACAGAAAAGGAAAAATCACTGAGTCAGACGTGGAAGCGTGTCTCCGCGAGCGAGCTGCAGAACAGAAGGAGTTTGAATATACATGCATCACACGAGCCATGAGATGGAAATCCCAGCCTTTCGTGCGACGCGTTGCACACCTTGCGGCCGCATCACAAGGCAGTAATGGGAGATGGATTCACACGCAGGTTGGAGTCGGTCGCACTCAACGCTACGAATGGAAATGGGAGTCTACAAGTGGCAACACACCGACGAAGCAGGACGGCGGCAGTGAGGTTGGAGACCTTCTCTCAGCTCTCGGTGCAGCCATTTCCTCAGCGTCGACGCGTTGAGCCACTCCCTGCTGTCGAAGGCCTTCTGAGTGGAGGGTGGGACCGCGCCGTGCGGTCCCGAGCAGAGTATATCGCTGCGCGATCAGGCAGAGACTCCAGAGACCCCTCCCCCTCCCTCCCCCTCTGCGCCCCCCCCCCCGCCGAGCGCGGCGCTTCGCGGCCCCATGGGGGGCTCTGCCGAAGGTCCCAGCGGCGGAGGCCGCATGCGATTCCCGCGCCCACGCATTACTTCGCGGCCCCATAGGGAGCTCCACCGAAGGCCCCAGCGGCGGAACTCGCATGCGGATCTTGCGCCCAGCACAGCGCTTCGTGGCCCCATAGGGAGCTCCACCGAAGGTCCCAGTGGCGGAACGCGCATGCGGTTCCTGCGCCCAGCACAACGCTTCGCGGCCCCACGGGGGGCGCGCCTTTCACGCGCATCGTGGGTCCATAGCCTGGGCGCGAACTGTCCGCGGCCAGACCTTCCCTCGGCCCTGGAGACTCTCGCCCTGGGCCGTCGGCCGTCCGGCGCGCCGCTCCCTCAGCCGATGTCACCCAGGCATGATCATGGACTGCGGCCGCCGCGACGTCGGGAACGGCAAGAAGGAGGGCGACGACTGGTGGCTGGAGCTCCACGCACAGCTCTTGCGCGCCACGCGGCGCGAGGACCCCCTGCTTGCGCGGGCGCCGCAAAGCGAGTTTTCCTCGGCGGGGCCGCCGGAGGGCATTTGGAAACAGCTGGAGCAGCTTGCGGCGCGCACGAAGCGGCGCCAAAGGAAGGCGACGGCCTTCGCCAGAGAGTTGGGCGGGCTTCGCCGGTTTACCCGCCGGGCCTGACCAGGGGGGCGGCCCACTTGAGCCTCGCCTTCTCTTGACGGTCTGGTCTGACTGTCGGCCCCGCGCCACGGGCGACCCGCGCGCGTCGCTGGAGCCCTCTCGGAGCAACCAGCGCGCGCCCGTGGAGTTCCGCGCTGCGCTCTGCCCGGCGCCTCGCTCGCCTCTCGTCGCTCTGCCCAGCGACCCGAGCGCTGCCCGCAATCGGCCAGCGAGCTAGCTTTCTTTGCTCCGCGCAGCGGACCACCCGCGCGCGTCGCTAGGACCCCCGCGGGGCGACCGGCGCGCCTCGCGGGGAGTCCGCGCCTCGCTGCGCCCGCAGCTTTGGACTCTTGTGCGCGCGGGCGCCTTGTCAA